TCGCAAGAGTACTAATAGTACTACCACATTACTTCATTGATCGGATCCTCAGACCAGACATCGTGAGACTACCCTTATCTCTGCTCCTGTCAGCGAGAGTAGTTCTAGCTCTCAAAACCCAACCAAGGAGGTACAGTACGTGTTGTATTGCATTTCGTATGCCGCTGTCTGCTCACATGAAACTCATCTAAGGGCTCGTCATCCAGCCATGACCTCTTATCATTACCAGTCTTTGCCTACGGGCAGCAATGCGGCACCAGAGGAGCACGCGGAAGATCTTGAGCGTAAGACTCATGCGAGCGGCGGCTCATACACACTCCTTTGTTGGATCATTTGCGCCCTATGTGTGGTCGCTATCATAGTGGCGTTTCTCAATCTGTCTCTCGTTCTCTCTGTTACAGGTCAGTTTTCAAGGAGCGGCGGCGCAATGGGCCTATCACACCCAGACATATTCGTTGGTCTTCCTCGAGAATTGTATGCCTCTATTGAATCACCTCTTGCTTGGTACTCTCATCAATTTTGTTTGGGACAGACTACCCGATCCGTCGGTCGACTTGTACAGTGATCGTGTGAACTAGCTGTCGTGGTGAGCTGCGTCCTTGTTTGCTATCAGTTAATGTTATGAACCAAGATGTTCTTGAAAATTCAGCATACGTGCGATAGGGATACCAGCATCCGTGGTCTGTTCTGGACTGAGTGTTGATACCAACAAGTTACTGGCTTCAATGAATGTGTCGTTGGGTCTCGATTACCACGCTATCGCTCGCCTCCACCGGCTTTGAAATAGTCCGCCGATTTAACCGAGGGTTCCCAGTACGGCACTTATATGAGCGTACACGCCGAATTGGGCGAGGCGCGCAGTCGTACACCTGTCCTTGCCGCATGATGATGAGGTGCCTGGAGACACATGCTCCCCGTTGGTGTATCTCGCAAAATTTCCCATTTGCATGAGATCTAGGGGTAAGGCGCTTGCAGGGCTGTCAATCTCTTCAATATGCGTACATAACTAGCGTGATAGGCGGGCCGACTGTAGGAGCACTTATTCGGCTGGCAATAACTTCTCTCCACACCGTCACCAGGATGTCTTCGCCATGGGCCACAGACGAGCCCCAAGCTGAGCTCTGGCTTGAACAGTCCATCAATGCGGGCACATATATCGGTGCTGCGGCCTATGGTATGTTCCACAATCCACATCATGTACTTCTCAGCTCATCTGATGCGCCGGGAATCGTATCGTAGGTTTACACGTTGCCTTGTACATCACATGTCTGCGCTCCCTCTCGCTGCGAAGACAGCACTACTGGTACATGTTAACGTTCGTTACCGTGTTGCTTTCACTAGGGACGATCAATATCGTCTGCAACATTCGTTTCAATGAGTTCACCTGGATTGACTATCGTAACTACCCTGGAGGTCCATTCGCATATATTATGGGGCAAGAAACCAATCCCCTTAACATCGCCGGAAATGCGGCTTCGATTATTGCCACATTCTTGGCAGATGGATTACTGGTGCGCACATCAGTCACAAACTCGTTACATTGGAGGATTGACATAGAATCGCCAGCTGTATCGGACTTACATCCTCTGGAACAACAATTGGATGTTGATCGTTATTCCTATACTTATGTATCTGGCTTCCACTGGTGAGTCACTGTCGACGTCTATAAATGTGTACGGATTAACTGAGATAAAATTGTCATTCTGGTTAGTGTTATCTGCATTCTTCGTGTATCAGGCTGCGCGGCCCGACTCTAGCCTATGGGCACAGAATAGCTTCAACTTTGGCTTAGCATACTGGGCCCTCACTATGTCCCTCAACATCATTCTCACTCTGATGCTCGTCGTCCGTCTGTTCATCATCCGCCGCCAAGTCAAGTCCACCCTGGGTGCCGACCACGCCAGGACATATTCGGACATAGCAGCCATGATCATGGAATGCGCGCTTCCGTATGGTGTGATCAGTTTTATCTTCATCGTTCTGTATGGCATACAGAACACCGGAGAGAATCTGTTCATACCGCTACTCGCACAAGTGCAGGTGCGTGTCTCCAACATCTGGAGACAATATTTTGTTGACTGTTCCTCGTAGTGTATCACCCCAGAGCTTATTATCCTTCGCGTCGCCAAAGGACATGCTTGGACCGGAACCAAAAACATGAGTGGACCGGTGTCCGCTATGAGCTTCACCGATCCGAAGACAACGATGACGACGTCCAGCGATACCACTACTCGTGAGGCGAACTTGAATGACATCTCGATAACCTTCTCGGATGGGTCCAGCTCTCAACTCGAGCGGAAAAATCATCCTTCTGATCCTGCTGTGTCGTTTGCGTAGGTTATGGACCTCTACGTTATCGAGTCAATTTTGTATTGAAATTCATGTACTTCGGGACTGATGCACTGATACGGCGGTATCTGAGATAGCCTAAGTTCCGAGCGAGATACCTGTTGGACTTCATGATGGATGGCGACAAAGGCGGAGAATGGATGAGCACAGCCAACATCGTTGCATCGCCCAATCACGGGAACATGGCGTATTCGGTATTCCCTAATGAGTGCTACTTCTTCCGTGGCAGGTTTGATTGTTCGTCAGAAGGCTAGTCAGAAGGCTGGCGAACGTACCCGTATTGGTTCGGCGACTCGGAGCTACAATATCCACAGTCAAAACGAGCCATACGTACGCTACTGGGTTCCATGTACGCTCGGTCGGCTTTGGCCATGCATGCAGGGCACACAATAGAGCTTGTACCGCAAGTTTGCAATAAGTAGGGAAAACTTGATATCTGCTCCGGATTGCGGGAGCATTCCCATGGCATCGCCCGATGCTGCGTAGTCGGCAGATTTAACCCCGCGCACGATTGCAATACATCGTGTAAACGGAGGCCCACAGGACAGCTACTATCAGCCATTGTTCTTGGAGTCCTTAGGAGGTGTGTCCAATGCCCACATGTACTTTGGAAACGGGTTATAGATAACTCGGTCGATGGTGTTGCAGAGCCCGTCTTGGTTACTCTCGACACTGCATCGCTCCCATGACCACCGCCCACACGACTGAGGGCACGATCCCGTTCCATGTCGACGGAAGCGTCTGTCAAACCTGGTACAGGGTGTTCGGAGACATCTCTGACCGGACGCGCACACCTCTCGTCACTCTGCACGGCGGCCCCGGACTCGCACATGACTATCTCACCCCCCTTGCCGACCTTGCAACACAAGCATCCATCCCAGTGATCGTGTACGACCAAATCGGCGGCGGACGCTCGACGTACTTTCCGGAAAAGCCGCTCTCGTTCTGGACGATCGATCTTTTCATCGACGAGCTCGTCAACCTCCTCAAGTACTTTGGCATCGAGGATAACTTCGACTTGCTCGGCCACTCGTGGGGCGGGCAGATGGGTGCCGAGTTTGAGATCAGACGACAACCTGCGGGTCTGCGGCGGCTCATCCTGACGAACTCGTTGGCGTCTACGAAAATGTGGGGGGAGTCGGTGAAGCAGTTGCTTGCAGAAATGCCGCAATGGGTCCGGGACGGGATGGCAGCAGGGTGGGCAAATCCAAAGGTCCTGGGTCCAGCCATGTTTGAATTCCAGGCGAAGCACGGGTGCACCGTGCAGCCACCACCGATCGAGTTCTGGGGACCACTGAAGCGAGTCTTCAGCGATGACTACACTCCTACGGTAGAAAGGGCAATGTGAGAAGCTCAATCAAATATACCGACGTGTGTATTAATACTGCATGTGTCAGGTTCTCCCAGGAACTGAAGGACTGGTCTATCCTGGACAAGCTCCATCTCATCCGCCAACCCACGCTCGTATTACACGGTCGCGCAGATGTTGCGCAAGATTTTATTGTCAGGCCGTTTTTTGAAAAGATACCGAAAGTCAAGTGGCGTACTTTCGAGCTGTCCAGCCACACGCCCATGCTGGAGGAACGCGAGAGTTATATCAAAGAAGTCTTGGCATTCCTAGAGTAGCTAGGAGACCTCAGGACACAAAGCTCAGGACTTGCTGTCCAGTCTGTGCATTTTAGCAGTTGAAATAGAGGTGCAATGGATGGTGGGATAATAACAAAGATATCAGACATGTGGCACTGCCTGCCTGAAGTATCGGTGCTTCGTAATGTGTTCAAATATTACGTCGGAACAGTCTGACACTTGCCTGTATAAGTAAATCTCACGATAGCTTTGCTTCCGTTCTCCGGTCTGATGAACGATTGAGGAGACAGAGATAGGCGTATATCCGGAGATAGCTGTGCAGACAGTGCAGTTCTAGTCGAGTTCTAGTCCATATAATTGGATGGGAAAAATGAGCGCGCGGCGCTTGTTTTCGTGGCCACCGCTAGACCGGTCCCAGACGCTCTATTCAAACACCTTCACTTTCGTCCTATTCTATCTTTCGTTGTATACCGTCGCAGAAATCGAACTAGCGAAGGAATGTTCAAGCACTTAAATCGCCAATTGCAGGCTCGCTGCGAGGTTCCGGTCATTTGCCTGGTCATTGGGGGCATCGCCCTCGTAATATCGATCGCTGTGCATATTGCAAACTTTGCCGTTATTCTGCGACTTTCTCGGAGAGACAGTAAGCTCAAATCATCTCTTGGTAGGAGCGTATACAGACGATACACCATGAGCAGGTTTTGATATCGCCACAAGAGCAGATTTCCCCGACTTGCATGCTGAACCCGCAGCGCTAACGGTCGTGCACGCGAGTCAATATAGTCTGCACGCTGATGACGAATGGACGTCGTCTATACCTGTTGGGGGAGGATTCTTGCGGAAGCCGAATACACACGACTACTTCGCAGTATCCATGTTCCACCAGCTGCACTGCCTGAACAACTTGCGGAGGTTCATCGCTGCGGGCCACAATCTATCTTTTGTCGAAACGGGCCATGCAGACCACTGTCTCAAGTACTTGCGGCAGATGATTCTCTGTCACTCAGATATTACGACCGAACCTGTGAAGATTATACAAGATTTCGATGGAGTGACGTGGATACGAGGGGCGACGGGGATCGGGATAACTCACCAGTGCAGAGATTGGGAACGCGTTAGGGAGTATGCAGAGAGGAATTACGAGGGGTGGAAATGGAAAGCATAAGACGCAAGAGCCAGGTCGCGATATCGCATTTACAGCTGTCTCCGCTTGAACCCTCACAAGCTCGATTGAGCTTACGAGAGCGGCAAGGGATACCATGCCGATGCAACCAATACTGGAACTCGACATGCTCTAGACGACAACCTCCTTCGATGTCTTATAATCACCACTCATGACGATGATTGGTTTAGATAGTTGCAATCGAGAGGTGTGTAGGTTATGTACATGACGACATTCAGCGCGGGTGAATTCGACACGATGGATTCATCACGCACCAAGCATGAAGTGCTACTAGTAGACAATGACCAGTGCTTCCGCTAACCCGCACAACTCTTCGTCTTTTATCCAGCGAGAAGAGAGATACTGCAAGTCCAACGTCAACAGAGCATTAAAACCCGTTGACTAGGAGGTATACTCGCGTCAAGTCGGAAAGACATACCTGAGCACAACTCTTCTACAACAGCGTAGAAAGCCGAATTCCAAGGCTCGGCTTAGAACTAGCAGATACTCCTCCCTGAGAACTGCGTCCGACGCTGACCGTATGGTATCAACGGCTATTTGACCCATGTCATGTCCAGGTAAGTCGATGCGATGCAACAGAGTGGCAAAGTCGCTGCAAGTAGCAGCTGACGAGAGTCAAGTTTCGATATAGATGCTTGACAAGGCCGCTTCAGGGACCTCCCGAGGACTACAGTCCATTCGCCTCCAGTGATGTATGAACGACGGAGCATGTGCACCGGCCCACAGTCGGCATCTTCGCCATAGTCGGAGTTGCGGAGTCAGTGAGAGAATGCGATCCAACGTCATGCCCGCTGCTAGACACTCTAATGTAGAAAGTGTATTGGCCAGAAAATTGTCCCAGGCAGGGACCATTGAACAAGCAAGTGGCGTCAAATATTCCGGGTTCCTCTGAGGTCATGGTTGTATCTTCAGATCTCCGGGTTCTCTCGTTCAGGAATACAAGTATTCGAGTCAATCCTGGAGGCACTTGTGCGAAGCATCATAGTCTACTTCACGGTACCCATGGTCATCAAGCTCTACGTATGCAAGTGTTCTAGATTGCTGATAAGGGCATGCAGGCGTCGCAGCTATGTACTGCGGCTGGACTAACTTCAAGGACGAAAAGGGTCCTTTCAGCAGGACCTGATCATCTTGTTGTTCGGCGCGTCGTGATCTATGCTAATGCGAGCAAGTTCAGGTAGCCATGTGAGTGCTCTTTCAGTGTGAAACAGACACTGAATAACTGCACATTCACTATCCGCGATATCATCAATAGTGTGCACAGCAAATAGGCCCAGCTTGACTCGCCAATATACCTTAAGCCATTCATGAATCCTCCTCAAAAAGAGTATACATGAGACACAACAGTGACATTTCCATGCCATATGCAGACAGTACGCCAGAGCGCCTCAAGCAGCATAACGCTTGCTGTATATGCCCTCCTGGATAGCTTTGATCTCTGCGACATCAGCAAGATCAGACACGGACTATGAAGCAGCTCTTGAAATGCTCACGGAGCGCAAGATGTTTAGAGTGAAATCGACACATAACCAAGTTTCCTGGACATGAACAGTTGATGACCTCGGAACGCATATGATGAACGGCGAGTACACACCCATCCCAACCCAAAGGTTCGGTACCCCGAGCCATCTCCAAACACCCCGAAGCTCACCCTCCGGGGTCAGCTTCCAAATCGGCGACATCTTGGACGCAATTTCTGGACTAACAAACTTCTTTATGGCAGACTCCGAGCTTTCATAACTAAAAGCATATGAGAAGGGAGACCACCCCAGTTGTGAAAACACACAGAGCAACTCACCCTGTCGCGAGGAGTACAACGTCTGCATCGAGTGAGCTGCCGTTTGCAAACTTCAGTCCAGTCCTGGTAAAACTCTCGATCTCGCTGTCATTTTTTAATTTCACCTCTCCATCAATGATCTTCTGGCATGCTCCCACATCTATATGCGCAAGGAGCGTAAGCAACCCAAACGTGTTGGAGGACATCACTTGTACCTAAGTAATAACCTCCACCACGAAGATAGACTAGATGCATGACACCAGAATCGTCAATACCCATGTTGTACTTGAATCCGACCTTCCGTAGTCCCTGTAGGAGCGCTCTTCGCGAACCACTGCATCAGAGCTATGCCGTCTCTATAAAATTGGGCTTACTTGTCTGCCTCTGCGATTGCGGCAGCAGTTCGTTTGTTTGCCTCTTTCTGGAGCAAGATCGGCATGGAGCTGGACAAACGATCCGCGGCATCTGCAGGTATACCACCCTCGCGATACAATGCTGATTGGGACGGTCGTGAACAAACAGGCGGCTGGAGTACAGGCGCAGCTACGTACTACCAACGCCAAGTCGAGAGCCTTCAGCAGTAGACATTACATAAGTTGAGTTTCTTTGTACAAGTGTAACGTCTGAACAGATGCTTCATCATAGGCTTCCTTCTCCTAGAGAAGCGAATCTGGTACTCACCTACTCCATGGTCTACATAGTCCGCAGCTATGTCGTGAGCTGCCATGGATAAAAGGGTTAGATTGGATGGATTAATACATGGTTTCGGTTATTCGTATACCTGACGTAGCAGATCCTACAACAATCACCTTCTTCCCAAGATGATCTCGAGCTGACCGGTGCTGAGTGGAGTGCAGTATTTGGCCATGGAATTCTTCCTGAGATTTTATGTCAGCTCTCTTCTTGCAGAGATATGTGGGAAGGATGTACCTGTCCGGGGAAGGTTGGAACGTGTGGTACACCTGCATGCCAGCCGATTGCCAATACCACATGGTCAACATGGAAGATGCGCTCGCTCCCGTCCTGCTTGTTAACCTTAACAATCCATTTACCGTCCTTTTGGTCCACGTGTGTTGCTGTCGTTGATGTCCAGACGTTGAGCTCCATCGCTTCGGCGTAGTATTCGAGCCAGCCTGCCAGCTGTCACAAACGTCATCGACGAATGTCTTACAGTGGGGCTATGAGTATTTACCTTCATGGCTGGGGTGAATACCGGCCAAGTTGACGGAAATCTTAACACGATGGTAAGAATAGGACCATCAGTGCATATCTAGTCTCTTACGGAAGGTAAGGCATATGGCAACATGCTGTCCAGCGACAGATTATTATCAAAAAAATCAGCGCGGTTAGCTATACTACTCACCCACAGGATCATGCAGACAGAGCGCCTCGTACCGGTCTCTCCAGTTGTTGCCAACACGATCCTTTCGCTCTACCACCAAAGCCGAAACACCCAAGTACTTCAATCTCGCGGCAACGGCAAGCCCACACTGCCCCCCTCCAATGATAAGAACGGCGGGATCACCATCCACCATCGATCTCTCGCGTTCGCGTTCACTCGTCCACTTGCCGTGGTTAGGCAGTGGATTTCGCAATGACCCCACCTTCTCTGGGAATCCTTTAAGATCCTCGAGGTTCGTGAACATCGTGTATGCCTTCCATGTTCCACTTGACGTTGGCACAAGTCTGAAGATACCGCTCCCAATCCCAACCTCGGTTTCGAAATCAAATGAGCCCACGAGCCACGCCAGGTCAGAATACGGCTGAAGCAGGCTAGCATCTTTGAGCTTGAATGGTGACGGCTTCATAACTGGAAGCTGATCCTCGAGAAACTTCTTGATCTTCACAACGCCATGGAACGTACGAAAGTCCCAAGTAAGCGCGAGTAGATCGCGCCACCAGCCATCTTCAGCGAAGAGACTGACGATACCCACAATGTTGTTTGCAGATATATGCTGCGAGAACGTGTGGATCCATTCTGTCGCGACCGACTGAGCGTCAAGATCAGGTGGAACGGTGGACCCCAGCCTATCCAGCGTCGGCAAGGTAGGCTCCAAGCCATCAGCAAGAGGGGGTACGGGCTGAGTATCGACGGTAGACATGAGGAAGTGTCAGGTAATCCAGTGTGGTCGAACTGGAAACGATAAGGGCGGGGACCTAAGGAAGCAGAGAAGCAAAGGCGTCTCCGAGCCGAACGTCTGGAATAACGGGGAAACATGAGTGCACCGGGATATATGCCGAACAGATTCTGGCAGGTTAAAATGGACTTTGCCGTCCCAAATTTCATACAAGGCCGACGCTGTCCAATTGAAACAAAAAAGACGAACATAAGGCCTGCCTGCTGACAGCTCAGCGACGAATGTGTGCCTTCATCGTCAAGTTCCAGCTTCACGCACGACACGCCGGCACACCCAATGGTTTATATGATTTGCGCGTGTTTCTGCTCCTTCTGAGCGACGGAATGACCTAGAGGTAAAATCAAGCTTGCGCAGTCTCGCAAGTCCTCGAGCTTAGAACTGCCTGCCTTCCACGGGGCAGGGACAAGTCGGAAGGCCGCTCGCAGAATAAATGCATAACGTGGATTACTGATTACCCACAGATATTATTATTACGATGCCCATCACTTTCCAGACATGCGACCAAGCCGAGCTTCGAGATATGTACTTCAAGGTCGGCACGGGGACTGTCAGATGTTCGCCCCGATGAGGCTTGACCCTGAGAACGGAGTGAAGTAGCAGCACATGTCGACGAAGTAACGGGAACAATGGGGCAAGAAACCGGTGAAGAATCGCAAAGCAGGAGAGGCTGAGAACTTCACGAACTTGAAAACTTGAAGATGGGAGGCACTGCCGCCACGCAATGGCTTATACTCTTAACCTAGGGTTAGAACATCCAGAAACAAGCTAAGATTGTCCAGTTAAGTAGCAGCCACTGATAAAGAGCTTATATTATGTCGCTTCCGAGTCTACTTGTCTACAATTATGGACTTCATAATACATGCCCTGCCAGGGAGATACTATAGGTGTCTATAAAGACGTTATCCAGCCCAAATAATATCAGGCTACATAGCGCTTTCCGTATACACCGTGACCAGGCTCCTGGACGGCCTCAGCAGACAAAGTAGCTGTTACATTCACATGTAGCAGAAAGCAGCTGATCCGTCTTCAGTCTAAGTCCTGCGATCGACATCTGTTGTGGCGATTATCATCATAGAATCTTCGACTGATCTCCCTTCAGGAAGTTCTGGTTGCAAAACTTGCACGAGCAGAGCCGCTTTAGGCTCATACACTTCAGTGATTGCACAGACACTTCCGCTAATCGACAAGGCGTCCGCGTGAAATCAACATCGGCGTGCATTTATGACACACAACCTCACCCCTACGGGACGACCCCGGTCAGCTTTCTATCCATCCACGCCTGATAGTCGTCCTCCAAGAACCGCCGCACCTGCACCCAATCTCCACACCGATGCACTGCCCCACTCCCGTTCGTCTGCGGGCCATCGAGAGTCCCGTCCGACAATAC